ATGTGCACAATCCCACACAGATATATGCTTATAAAGATAATTAGAAGTAATAAAAATAGTGGTGATGTGCACGCCTTTAATCCCAGCACTTAGGAGGCAGAGGCAAGTGGATCTCTGAGTTCGAGGCCATCCTGATCTACAGAGCTAGTTCTAGTACAGCAAAGGCTACACAGAGAACCCACAAAGCCAACAACAACAACAAAAAAGAAATATGTCCTGGGCTGGAGAGATGGCTCAGTGGTAAAGAGGATGTGAATTCAAGTCTAGGCACCATGTAACCGCTCACAGCCACATGTAACTTCCTGGGTCCCACAAGTGCTGAAAGCAAATGGTGCACATAAGTTCACACATACAAACACAGACACACGATAAAAGTGGTCCTTTAAAATGCTTGTTATGGCTTCTGATGAGTCTTGAGATTGTACAGTCAAGACCCCAGAAAAGTGCTTAAGTCTTTTGATTTCTTTAAAAACCAACTCTTTCAAGGGCCTTTGTGAACATCACAGACCAGCGGTGGTTGGAACAATTTCAGAAGAATATGTCATTCCCAAACAGAACACTGTTGTCCAAAACAAGAAACCGAAGGGCCTTGTATGGCTGAAAAAAAATGGGGAGAGCTGGGTTTTCATTCTTTTCTCAAGAATAATTTGGAGATTAAAAACTGCAAGGCCAAGGAGGGGATGGTAGCTTAGCGGTAAGTCTTGCCTAGCATGGAGAGGCCCTGTTTCCTCTACAGTGTTAGAGACAAACAAAATACCACAAAATGGTCAGCATAGGTGGCTATATCTGGGGGCTCCCCACTGTGTATTTGAAAATAAACTCCAATATTTTTGGAGACAGGGGTTTCTCTGTGTAGTTCTGGTTGTTCTGAAACTCTCTCTGTAGACCAAGCTGGCCTTATTCATAGAGATCCACCTGCCTCTGCCTCCTGAGTGCTGGGATTACAGTCACCACTACCTGGGAACAGCTCCAAATTTAACTGCTGCATCGGAAGAAGAAAATATGGGCATTACAGTTATTCAAACTCAGTTCAGGCTCCTGACAGACATGATTTTTAAACAGCTGTGCCTTCCTACCTTCTGAATTGGGATAAATGATGTCTCCATTTCAGGGCTTGAACGGTCTTTTTCCTGCCTGATTTTTGAAGAGCTGTTTGTGGTCAACTCCTGAGGTGCATAGAGCAGATTTTTATTTCTTAGTTTGCCATTAATTTATATGTGTTTTGAATCAGACGTACTAGCAGTCTCCCCTGCCCCCCCCCCCCAACTCCCATGCTGCCATTTGCCTTTTATGGTTTAAGGATTTTCACATAAACACAATTTTCACTTAGGCCTCCTTGAAGGCCCTGCATCTGATTTTATAATTTTATACTATAAATTATATAAACTTCAAGATCCTCAAAATCCTAAACTCACTCAAAAGGTCATTCTCTACCAAATTATAGGAATTGTTAGAAAAATTACCTTTTTCCTTAATTTATTCTCTAATTTTTCATTGCTAAAATGGATGACTCCTGTAAATTTCTTCAGAGAATTCTGAGAATAGAGCGGCATTGTCCATTGATTCACGCCATTACTCTTGGTTTGTCTACGCCAGTGTTTCTGTTCAACTTGTGGGTCAGGACCCCTTTGGCAAATCTCTATTTCCAAAAAGACTTGCATTATGATTCATAACAGTAGTAAAATTACCATTATGAAGTAGCAATAAAAACGTTATGGTTGGGGTCATCACATGAGGAACTAACTGTATTAAAGGGTCTCAGCGTTACCGCTGGTCTCTGCTCTGCTCCTAGCCTTCGCATCCAATTGGGTGAAGCAGCTTTGGAGTTCTAGGGAGGTAGAGGAAGAGAGTGAGCTAGAAGGCATGGTCCTTGACCAGGTGCTGGCACTGGGCAAGAACAGGTCTAGTGGGCTCCCAGGGCTGCAGTCATCAGGTGTCTTAAAAGCAGTGTTTTTCTGTGCAGAGGAAGAAGCATTTTTCTTCTAGTGTTGCCTGCGATCTTGGACCTTTCCACATCTTGTGGCATCCCTCATATCGCTGCTTCTGTCAAGTGATATTGTCTGTATTTCTTCTCTTTTTGTAAGGATATCACTCAGGCCACCCCCAGGACTTCATCTGATTTTGGTCACACTGGCAAAGACTTTTTTCAAGTGAGGCCACATTCCAATCTTTTGAGTTGGGGATATAATCCAGCCCATCATAGGGGCATTTGGAGGTTGAGTATTCAGTATTCCAGGTCTCAGGGTCCAACCCTGAGGTGACTATACAGCTTCAGTCACACAAGTCAAGTGCATAAGTTACTTTTCTACTTTTCTGTTGCTGTGAAAAAATATCATGACCATACATGCCAATGCTCAAGAGTTTATTTTGGCTTATGGTTGCAGAGGAGTTCATATGGTGAGGAAGGAATGGCAGCAGTGGCCAGAGCAGGGAGGGAGCTGGGTGATACAATTTCTGCTGCATATAGGAAACAGATGAGGCTATAAACCAAATCCAGCCCCCAGTGACATAATTCTCCCCAACAAGGATCCACTTCCTAAAGATTTCCTAACTTCTCCAACTAGTACAATCAACTAGGAAACCAAGTGTGCAGATATATGTACATGTACAGGGGACACTGCCCATTCAAACCACAGTAACTTTTGTTAATGAGACCAAAATAGCTAATAAGCCATTTATGGAAGGGTTTATTTGGGGATACAGTTCAAGAACATATAGTCCATGATGGTAGTGAAGACATGTTGGCAGCAGTGTGAAGTACACTGTACTCACAATCAGGAAGCAGAAAGAGTACTGGAAACCTCTTCATCCATGCTTCTGTTAAGAAATCCCAATAAGGTTGGAGAGATTGCTCAGTGGTTAGGAGCACTGAATGTTCTTTCAGAGGTCCTGAGTTCAATTCCCAGCAACCAGATGGTGGCTCACAACCGTAACAACAGGATCTGATGCCTCTTCTGGTGTGTCTGAGCAGTGACAGGTGTACTCATATACATCAAATAAACATTTAAAAAGAAATCCCAATAAATTAGACTTCAATGAAAAATTTTTTTTTGTCAGTCAGCCAGGCTCTCTCTGGGGTGAATATATACTTATTCACATCATTTCCATTCTAATAAAAGTCACACAGGAGTGCTTAACCAGTATATAAAGTCACATATGATAGGACCAGATACAGAAAAAGGGAAAAAAGAGAGGGGGCTGGTAGCATGGCACTCACTGCTCAGGCTAGATGATCTGAACTGAATCCCAAGAACCAGCCTTAAAAGCCAGTTGTGGCAACTCATGTCTGTAATTCCAGCACAATGAGATGAAGTGGAGACAGGAGAATCATACAGAAACTCATATTGCTGTGTTGTAGAGCAAGAGAGAGCCTTCCTCATAAATATCACAGAAGAGAATGGTGAAAAACAAGTCCCCTAGACCGGGCAGTGGTGGCGCATGCCTTTAATCTCAGCACTTGGGAGGCAGAGGCAGGCAGATTTCCAAGTTCTGGTCTACAGAGTGAGTTCCAGGACAGCCAGAGCTACACAGAGAAACCCTGTTTTGAAAAAAAACAAAAAAAGAAAAGAAAAACAAGTCCTGATACCCTTCCCCTACCTCCCCTCCACACACACCTTTATACACAAAATCTTAAAATAGGGCTCATCCCAAAGGCCAGAAGCTTCTCTGGATGTGATGGGATAACCTTCCTTGCCAACTTGATTAAATTCATAACCACACCACCAAGTAATCTTTTTTCCAGAAAGTTTTAACTGAAGACCCACTTGAATGTGGTCATCCTTGAGCATTGGGGGGGGGGGGGGAGGAAATGGGGTTCTCAGACTGAATACAGAGAAAGTGAACATTAACTTGAATCACAATGCAACATTTCATTCCATGCACCACTGTAAGAGCCTCCAGGTGAGGGAACTATATATATAAAGGTCTTGGAAAAAGTAGGACTTATCCAGTCTGTTTCCTCATCAGTAAATTGAAACATAGTACCCATGATGAATCATAGTAGGTCTACTCTGATCTATTAAATGCTCAGTGAGTGTTAGCTATGTTGACTAGAATAGCCAAATTTCACAAGACACTAGGTCATTTTAGTGAATATCACTGCTAAATAATTCAAGGACAGCCCATTCCACTATGAATAGGTAGATTGGTTCTACCAATGAGTCTACCACTCTCCAGCTTCAGACTTTTCTCTGCTCAACCATCTTGACCTTGAGATTAACATCTATCTGCATCTCAGGGCCTGTGGGTTTTGCTTCCTTCTGTCTAAAGGTTCTTCCTATAGGTAGTGGCTTGATTCCCTCCTGAAACTTATTTTTATATTCCCCCAAACATGGCATCCTCCTGTTTCAAGTAACACCCACATGGCTCTCTTCCCCTTATCCTCAAGTTATTTTTTGCTACCCTTAAATGTTCCTGTTAACTAGACCGTATTCCAGATGTTTCAGCTGCCCTTAAGGTGTCACTACTTCTGAACTGTACCATATCATTCAGTTGGTGGGACAATTACCAATGTCCCCTCCTGGCAGAGGGCTCTAAGAACACTCTTGGAGGAAGGGTAGGTGGCCTTTTGTCCTGTTTTTCTGGCCCAGTTCCAAGTAATGTGGGGGTAAGAGCCCATGTGACTCCAAGTTCAATTTCTGCTACTCTGCTCCAGTCTTCCTGGACCAGGACTCTGTCAGGTTGTCTCTGACATGGAGACAAAGTAGGGAAGAGCGTTGTAAATGTTTCCTGGTTTACCTTACGAGTTACAGCTGATACACAACATCCACCTCAAGGATTTGGAGGCTACTCATTTTTGGGGTATGTGAAAGAACTCTTGCCACACCATGAGCAGTCCTAGGGACTGCTTTCAAGGTACTCATTTTCCAATGTGCATATATAAAATTATACAGTAATATACATCACAAAACAACCACTGCACTGTGATGGCCAAATAATGGGTTGGAGGCATTGTTGCAATGCTAGGATCAAGTGGTGTAACAAATGAAGAAAAACCCAGGTCACTATCCAAGCATTTATTCATTACTAGTTTTTCTAGTGAGCGGTGTATACACAGATCATTTCAGTTAGTTCTTTTAGCCCTAACTCAGTTATCATGCAGTCAATCAACCTTCAGATTCAAAGACAATCTTTTATCCAGAACATTTTGGATCCTAAACCTAATTTTGAATTGCTCTTAAATTTCTAATTAATGCAATTCTCTAAGACTGAAGCTCACAAAACTTAAATTCATCATCTCACTCAGAAATGACTGAAGATACAGCTACACTATCCCCTTGGAGCTCTGCTTTTACCATGGGCTGACTGGGAAGTGGATCACAGGCTAGGCCGAGATGTGGGATGGGCCTCCTCGGCTGTCCACTTCTACTCTCCTGCAAATCTTGGTAACAAGAGCCACCAAAGCAGACCATGGTTCTGCTGAGAGGCAGCAAGGGCTTATCTGTTCCCACTCTGCCTATAGTAGGCTCTGGTCACCAGGAGGAGTTGGGGACACCTGAGAACAGATATTTGACAAGGGACACAGGACTTGACCACCCAGTCTATTTCTGTGGTCTACTGTTCTCTGGATTCCGTGCCAAAGCACATTTTTTTTTTCTTTTGCAGCAGAGTTTGATACAAACTTCTCACTGTCCCAGCAGAAAAAGGCTAGTTCTTTGACATTTATACCACACCTGAACTTAAAGGATGAGGGGACCACTTACTATTCCAGGTAAAGTAACGGAATAAGCAAAGGCAAGAAAAATGAAAACCAAGAGAGAGCCAATTTTAGGATGACTTAAAGTTTGCTGGGTCCTAAAACCATGCAGCAGTTTTGTTTTTCAGTTTCTTGTTCTGGTTGTTTTGTTGTGAAGAATAAATGGAGATTAAGGGCTAAGCAGGTACCTTGGCAAAGAAGTTGGTGGATGAGACAAGCTTATTCCTAAGGTGCTTAGAAAGCAGAGCCAAAGAGTTGACACAAGGCCTGTAATGGTAAAGGTCAGATTAAATGGACAGTTCACATTACAACAAGACTGATAGGGAACAGTCCCGAGGTGAAAACCTTAATTAATGCTTGAATTAAGAGATGTTACTTTACAGGCTGAATCACTACTGATTAAGACTATGAAATAAAAAATTTCCCAAGTTCTTAAACTGAGATAAATCCATACCTCAAAACAAAATGAACAATTCTCCATAACTTTTACAGATACAATTTGAAGTCATGTACAACTACATCAAGTATCACAATGTTTATTGATAGATACAAGTATATAAAATCAGGGCATGAACATGACTTGATAAATTAAGTAGACTTAATTTCAATACTATAATAAGAGGGACCAATTCAAATTCTCACCATTTGTTTCACACCCACAAAAACCACTTCAAGGGCATTAATGATCTCTCAAACTGATCAGTTTTGTGCAAGTAAACCATGTTTCTTTTAAAAAGACTTGTGCACTTGCCCAGGCTCAAGGATTTTAAAATCTAGCACATAAAGCCCATTACTAGAGGTAGAAATACAGGCAATATACTATTACGGCAACAACCATCAATTACAGTTAAGAATTTTTCTGTAACAACCAAATGGATAATCAAATATTGCAACAACTCAAGTATTACTGAGCAAAGTGCATCTCTACAGTATTCAGTGTTGCTATTCAGTTTTCTAACTTAAAACAGCCTATGGTAACTGGCAGCAAAGAAGGTCCTTGCAATAGACTGCCTCTGCTTGAGAACTTAGGATGTAATTATTGCATGCTGCTAATATTCTATCTAAACATTAAGGATACTCCTAAAGTATTTGATGGTAGACTATGATTAAGACATCACACTACAAAAACCTTATGCAGAAGGAAACCTTACTGACGTGCTTCTGCTTTAAATATTGTGAAAAACGTTACAGCGGAATGAATTTTCGCAGTGGTTAGGTCAAATGCAGTTACATCATAGCAACAGTATGTTTTGCACAATTTAAGGCTTTGGCTGGTTCTTTAGTCAGCTTCTTCCTCTGATTCTTCTTCTTCAGCAGTTTCTAGCCAGGTTAGCCACTGATTCACCTGTAAATTAAATTAATGATTTAGAGCCGGGCGGTGGTGGCGCACGCCTTTAATCCCAGCACTTGGGAGGCAGAGGCAGGCGGATTTCTGAGTTCGAGGCCAGCCTGGTCTACCGAGTGAGTTCCAGGACAGCCCGGGCTACACAGAAAAACCTTGTCTCGAAAAACCAAAAAAAAAAAAAAAAAAAAAAAAAAAATTAATGATTTAGTATAACTTCCAAGTTTTAGATCAGTATATATACCAAAAATGGACTCTGGGAATAAAACTTTGGTCTTTACCTAAGTCTGCTTTCCATAGCCTTCTAAAAATACTGTACAAGTGTTTTGCCTGTATGATATGCCTGTGTACCATGTGTGTGCAGGGCCCACAGCAGCCAGAAGGGGCCATTGGACCTTTGAAAACTGAGGACAACAAGTACTCTGAATTGCTGAAATGTCTCTCCAGTTCCCGACCAGACAAGGACTCACACAGCCCAGTCCAGACTTTCCTTGAATTAATCATGTAACAGAGGACAACTCTGAACCTAGTCCCTGTCCTTCTAACCCCAAAGTGTTAAACTTCAAGGCATGCACCATACCTTCCAATTAACTAGTCTTACACTTCAGCCAGTCTTTCTTCACTGTAGTCTTTCTTATCTAGTCCAAGACAGCAACTCTTCCAAACCAAATTTTATTAGCATATAGACAGGGAAGGATGACATGCCAACATGCCTACCAGACTTATCAGATTTTCAAAAGTAGGAGTGGGATTAATCCTTAATGATATTCACAAAGTAGCCTACAAATCTTAGAAACTATAAACCAGGGTTTCCTCAAATCTGAAGCCTAGGAAAATAACGAGTAGAACTATCTGAATTGTGCTAAATGAGAAACTTTAGTACCAGACTGGGATTAAACTATTAGACTCATTATTTACATACATTATAGATTATGGAATACTTTGATGTCAAGTTCCATTTAAGGCGCTAATTCCATTGATAACAGAAAACCAAACTAGATCATAAAGATGTTTTTTTTTCACCTAAGGTTTAACTAACTCTTTAACCATGTAAACAGCTTTATCACCAAAACTGTCACCTAATTTAACACCTTTATACCCCACTATGATTTCATCTTATAACTTTATCTCAGTTTGCTAACTGCCTACTTGACTGTAGCTTGTAACACACAGTGCTGACCGGCATACCTTTGGACACATTCAAGTTAGAAAGAGGGCCTTTTAAATACTAAGAAAGAAAATCACAAACCAAACCAAGTTGACAGGAAAAAAAAAAATCCCAACAAAGCACTTACCTGGAACAAAGCCTTGCCTTTTCCTGGAAATTCTTGAGTTATGTCTTCCTTCCAAGCTAAGAAAGCTTCCTCTTCAATAATTTCCATGTCATAGAAATGAACGAAAAATCGAAGCAACATGCCTTTAAAAAAATACACAGAATACAGTTCATAATTCAATGTGCTATCCACACTGCCCCTCAATCCTGACTCCTGATCAGTGGTCACCTCACCTTTTGGGAAGCTGCTGTTGTAACAGTGCACCTGCAGAGCATACAGGGCACTGACCTGTAGATCCACATGATCATGAAGGAATTTCTGCATCACTGGCTTAAAAGAGAGCAGCAGCTGTTTTTCCTGCTCTAACTGTTCTTTGGAAGGAGCAGAGGAAGAATCTGTTTCATCGCTGGGTGGGCTTACTTCACTAGAAATGTACTGTAAGAAGCTGAACAGCAAGTTTTGTTAGAAACCCAACAGTTGTTTAGCTCAACACAAACTGTTATTACTGACTTCTTTCTGGCAAATGAACTAATCATCTTACCTGGTCATTAATATGTTCACAAATCCTTTATCTACATGAAGTTTGGGAGAGATGTTATCTTTAATCCATTTATATATAGTTTGAGGGGATGGATCCAGCTTAATTTGCTTCAATAATTCCTTCTCCAATTTAAGGAGTGGGAATAAGAAACTCAGTCCCTTTCCTTCCAAAATCTCCAACATCCGATCCTTATTCTGATCAATTTCTGCAAACACAAAGCAATTTCTCATTTTATCAAGTTGGCCTTAACTAGACAGAGCTTTACAAATGATTTCTTAGCAAATGAAAATCCACCCAAGGACCCACATCTCCATTTAGTGTTAAGTCAGCTGGCTCTTACCTGGCAGCATTTTCTGCATATTGACCTTGCTTTGTTGAAAAAGTTCGGTTAACCATTCTCGGTCTTGCAATTTAGCTAATTGTTGAAGACAAAGTAAGAAGAGAGGGAAGTGGGTGCCACTCTCTAGTGGTTGAGCTAGTTCTGAAATGCTCACCAGCTCTGAGATTATAGCACGAGCTGCAAACTGTGCCAAGTAAGATTTCACCAAGGGGATGTCAACCTCCAGTTTGGGGCACTGCTCCAATACATTCAGGAAAGCCTTGTGAAGAATATCCAAAACAGTTTTATTAATTTCCAATCTTAACTGGAAAGAAGTTACCGTACCACACTATCAGTAGAATATTCTACCTGCATGAAGTTGTCACTTGTGGCTATCCCTTCCTGTTTGAGTAAACTGATCAAAGAACTTGCTTTTTCTTTATCTTCATCACTTCTATCAAGTGACAGGATGATCACTTTGCTTAACATCTCAGGAAGAAAGTGTTTTGGAGCTCTCATTTCTCTCACACCACTGACAGCATCGTTGGCATTTCCACTGTTCAGATATTCAGTCACAACAGCTTCCTAAGAACACAATTCAATTCCCATTAGCATTCTCTACCCTCAAATGTTTTCCAAGCAACAGAGATTGACTATTTGAGGCTTTCTGAAACTTACGGTCAGTTTAAGTAGTTCTTCCTTTGATGGTGGTGGCTTTTTGCTAGTCTTGGCAGGCTTTTCTTGGATAAGTGGTGGATTAGTTTTGAGACCAAGTTGAGGTGTCTAAAGACAAGAAATAACACATTTAATCAAAATGAAACAAATCAAAAATAACAGCACTACCATGAAGCAGAGCAGAGGAAAGGAAACACTTGAGTTCTCATACACCTTCAGGGACACTTAGAAGTGTACTATACTTTGGGGGACCGTACCTGTCCCAGAGGTGGTGTTTGAGTGCGTGGTGGCTGTGCACTGGGAGGAATCATAGTTATCTGGGGCTGAAGTTTTGGCACCTGATTTTTATTCATTAGAAACGACTGAGCAGGCCTCAAACTAATCTAAAATTGAAAACAAATCAACATACAACCAAGTTAACAGAGCTAATGAACATAACTATTAACACTTTCAGTATCCCGCAACTAATTCTATACAAATCTATTATACACGTTATTTCATGTCAAATAAATGTAACTTACGGGAAAAATACCTGATTCAGAGTAAGATACTGAAATTTAAAAAAACTTCACAAACCTTATGTTTGTACTGTTCAAGTCTCCCAATATCAGCAATGCAGATATAAACCCTTTATTCTACTTAGTATCTGTACCATTTTCTCATGATAACTATATAAATAACTTAGAAACTTGCCCTCATATCTCATAATCTTCGCTCATAGGACGCTGGACACCCAGAGAGAGAAAAGGAAGCAGAGAAAAGTAGAAGAGAAATTAAAGACAAAAGAGTAGAGAGAATAAAAGGAAAAGGATTCCAGCTTTTAGTCCTCTTTCGCGTCTTTTTATAATCATCGGGCAAGAGACTTCTGCACTGACAAACTACTGCATAGAAGTAATGTAGGCAAATGTACCTCATCTGCATTAAGCTGTCCTTTCTTAGAAAACCGAGGTGGCATATCCTTCGACTGTCCTTGTAGCTGGGATAAGAGTCCCTGACTCTGGTTATGGTAGAGCTGGCTTAGCCCCTATTTCAGAAAGGGAGAAAGAAAGTCTAGATAAAAATTATGGTAATCAAGTACCAAAGGCATGAGCCAAGCCATTGCTTTGCCCAGAAAAGGTGAAACAGGGAAGAATATCTAACCTAACTGTTGAATAAAGTGATGTGATTTTACTAATCTTAAGGATAAGCATCTTACTCAATTTGAAACTGTCAGACGGAAATATGCTAAGAAAAAAAAAGCATCAAAAGTCAGCTTCATTTAAAAATAAAGGGCAAAAGGTATTAGACCTAAGGCTAGCCCTAACACTATCAATGTCTTACCTGGCTTTTCATAAACTTGCCCCCCATCTCTCCAAACTGTGATTGCGTGGGAGGCATGATGTGTCCCCCATGGCCATTGAAGAGCTGATTTGAACGATGACGTCCCATTGTGGGTGAAAATCTATCCTGGATAACTCCTGGACCAGTACCAATTCCACTACCTTAAAATACAAACAATTCTTAGATATACACTAAAACATTAACTTGTAGTTTTACCAAAACACTGCTGTTTATTAAAATTACCTGGCATTTGCCCAAACATATCAGCAAGTCCCCCAAGTGGGTCCCTATCCATTTTCATCCTTGGCGGCATGAACGGTCCCTCCAGGAAGAAGTCATTCCTCCCTTGAGCCATAGGAGCAGGAATAAATACTCCTAGATCCTTAGAGAAGGAAGTGGGTAAGTACAGTCCTTATTACTACGATGTAATGCTATCATTCTCCCAAGTGGGATGAAGGATGCTACAAAGCAATACCAATTCTAATTTTTGAAGAGCGAGGGACTGTGCTAAGATAAAACAAGAAATCAAAAATGTCTTACTTTTACCGCATCTTGACGGATTTGATTGATCGTCTTTGGTCCATTGTCAAGAAAAGCCTTGCGAGGAACCCAATGGTGCTCTCGCAACTCTACGGTATCCTGTAATTTTAAAAATATAAATTGTATTTTACCATTCCAAATGAAAAACTCAAAACTTTGAACATTGTTAAAAACCATCTCACCTGCAGTAGGAAACGAATCCTGGCTGGCAATTCCTTACTTAACATTAAGGAACACATTCTGGCAAAGTACTGATCCATTAAGGACTAATAAAGAGACAAAAATACATAATTAGATATAAGGTAAATGTGTACTAAGATACTTTAGATTATTATGCTATAAAAGTCAATGACTAGAGCAAATACCACCTCTCACAAGTCACCTTTTACACTGGTCAACAAAAACATACCTTGGCTCGTTCATGGTCTAATCGAGGTCCCACTGTCCTCATTATCTGACAGAGGCACTCCAAATCCTCTCCCATATCTTTGAGTTGGACTCTCTTCTTCTTTTCCAAAAGCTACCAAAATAACATGTTTACAATCATAAGTTATTCTTTTTTTTTTTTGGTTTTTCGAGACAGGGTCTCTCTGTGTAGTCCTGGCTGTCCTGGAACTCACTCTGTAGACCAAGCTGGCCTCGAACTCAGAAATCCACCTGCCTCTGCCTCCCAAGTGCTGGGATTAAAGGCGTGCGCCACCACTGCCCGGCTCATAAGTTATTCTTGTTTATGTTGTTTTTCCTCCTTAGATTTGGACTGACTCATTTGTAATTAAAATTCCTAAAACATGTAAGACAATGCTTTCCTACTGGTCTGTGTTGAAGAAACCCTCTAAGAATTTTTAACACAGGCAAGCTGTTCTATCTCTACTACTTTATAAAGTACACTACAAAATCCTCTAAGTTATCTCTGGTTATCAAAATTTGAGTAATTGCCTAATTTTCCCCAAATAAAGATGTTCTCATCGACTCCCTCACCCCTAAGCCACTACAACTCGAGTCATACTTACTGTTTTGATGCACTTATGAAGGATAGATTCATGAATAAGATCAAGCTTGCCAAGTTCTCCAATGAATTTGATGTTCCCCAACATCTTGATCTTAGCAATGGCTCTCTGTTCCTCCTCCTCAGGGAGGAGGGGATTTTCACGCTTATCATAGACTGAGGGAAAGGAAGCAAACAAAATTAAAGAAAGAACACTTAGAACCACTCTTTTTTTTTTTTTTTTTGGAGACAGGGTTTCTCTGTGTAGCCCTGACTGCCCTGAACCCAGTCTGTAGACCAGGCTGGCCTCAAACTCAGAAATCTGCCTGCTTCTGCCTCCCAAGTGCTGGGATTAAAGGCATGTGCCACCACTGCCCGGCTTAGAACCACCCTTGCGTTCTGACCTTTACACTTAGGCCATGGAATGCAAGTATGCATGCATGCACACACACAGACACACAAATGTAATAAAACACCCAGTACTTAATAGTAAATTTAAATTCTTACCATCAACATTTCTGGTTCGGTTTTCAAATTCATCTTGCAATTTGGAAATCAAGAGGCGTCTGAATGTCTATTTGAAAACAAGAAGCATTATGGGCTTTTTAAAAAAATATCTTTCAAATTAACTTCGAAACAAAGAAAACAAGAATAGCCACTCACTGTGCTTTGCTTCTGTCCTGGTTGACCCTCTGCTGCTGGGCCATCAAAGTTTGGTGCATCTTCTGCCAATCGCAGACATAGCTGAGCATACAGCGAGCTATACTTTGGCTCTTCTAGGGCTTTGTCCACAATCTACATTAAATTATTAAAAAACAAACCAGCATGAACTGGAAGCTGAAATAGCCCCCCTTTTAAACAGTCTTACTCTTATATTTCACAACAAATCACAATCTCAATTTGGACACCTCAGAAAAAAACTTTTTAATAAGTTTTTAAAATTTAACATGTCTGGTATAATCTGATAGATCTCATGTTATATCTCCCCAGTTAGAAATGAACTATAAATCATAAAACCACAGAGATGCTGAATTTGGGATCCAACTCTGTGGTAGTCATGTAAAACAAGATGCCAGAATCTGGTATCAATTATCATAAAGTTTCCAAAACTACTTTCACAAAAGGAAAACAACTTAACAGCTATTTCTGGACAGCATGGTCAACCAAAACAAATGGTTTACCCCTTGGATCGTGATACTATTAAATGTTTTTGTTTTTATTAGCATCATTACTAAATCATATCTATCATATATGTATACGTCTCAAGCATATTAGGTATGTATATATCACACATCTATATCTAGAACTATTATTATCTATATCTAGAACTATATCATTATTTATTGCAATATTTCAGTTAAACTTGGGTCTTAAATTTCTCCCCCTCTTTTAAGCTAACATTTAAAACTTACCAGCAGTATGACCCCTTTAAGGATGAGTTTAGACTCTACACCCACATTGAGGAGCTCAAGGCATAGCTTGTCAAACTTTTCAGGAGTAAGCTTATTTAGTATGCTGAGGGAAAAACAAAGTGTGACTTAACAAAAAAAAAAAAAAAATCTTTGCGCTAAAAAATAGCATTTAAATTTTGACTTTCCCTTTATGAGCTCCCTAAGCAAGAAAATGTTCCCCTTTCCCCTAACTTTTGAGAATTCCATAGTGTATTTTTAAATCATAAAATTTTCTGACCCCCAACTCCCCCATAATTTCTTCCTGAGTGTAAGACCTTGCCCTGGAGTGTGGCTAATGTATCAATTGATACTCCCTCTCCCAGCAGCACATATTTGTTAGTAGCTTCTTGGCTAGGAGTAGGGCTTTTGTCTGGCTTGAGCAAATCTTGAGCATGGTATTATAGAAGTGTTCATTTTTCATCCAGAGATGCTGGAATCACTTCTCAGTTACAGCATCTGAATCATATTGGATTTTCCTGCTGTTTCACAGGAAACCACTTTAAACCCAAGATCAGTAAATCTTCCTTATATGGATAGACCATGAGTTAACATGGTTGTATTACCCATGTCACTGAGTTACACACTAGACCAACATGGGAAATGCCAGCGTAAGCTTATTTATGGGCTGTAAACAAATAACCCTTGCTGTCAAATACCAATAGGCTACTGTTCTTCTGTCTAAGATTTTTAAAAATATCGCCGACATCAGAATCCACTATAATGTAATCAATGCCTAATGAATCCTGCCAAAATCATGCCTCATGAATTTTTCAGTACACATACTAGAATACAACTCCTCTACTTCTCTCAGAACAGAACTTGGCACTTACCCTCTTACTTTCCTGAAGATTGCATCATGTCGTTCTTTTTCATTTGCGGAGTTGTTTGCTGCGGAGTTGTCATCTCGTCTAGTGCTTCGTGCAGGAATCCATTTCTGAGCGTTTTGCCCTGGGGTTTTCCCCAGGAACTCGCTAGTTTAATAAAACATCAATGAAGTGGCTTACAATAAAGGAAAAAACTTTAAACACAACATCCAATAACAAATGCCATACCACCCTAAAACTGCTAAACAGAGGGAAAGAGAGCCACCAAACCAAAACCTTAGGCTTTACTACTTCCCCACAGCAATCCTAAAAATCTTTTTTCAAACAGCATCAGAGTTGTCCAGATGGCTTCTTAAAACAGACTGAAAAGGCTCATTCCCAATTCTGTTCTAGTAGGTTTGGGGTAGTACCTGAGAATTTCCATTTCTTAATATATATACTCCCAGGCAAAGCCAAAACTGCTGGCCCAGGCACCAAACCTTGAGACTCAATACTAAAATAAACTTAAGCAAATTCCACAGACCACTTCACAAATACCCTGTAGTAGGGATAGTAATTTTGGAATACCAGCAAACATAAACCAAAAGGATGAAAAGCAGTTTGAAATTATGAATCACATCAAGATTACTGATGATTTCTCAGATTATCCTGTTAGGCATGGAGAAGTCTTTAATTAATCACACTGACAGTTTTTAAAAGTTAACTGTCTTTACAAGTTTTACCATACCTGTTGCCAGCAGTCTTGGGATAGTGCTGAGGTGCACCCCTACTTCCTCCTCCGCCCGAAGAAGCACTATTCAAAAGAAAATTTTTACTATACCAATTATGCCTCACTTGAAAGGGAACCTATTTATATTTTAGAAATTGCACAAAGTGAACCTTGGCCTAAAAGAAAGCAAACTAGAGGCTAGAGATGGCTCAGGCATTGAAAGCAGTTTCAGTTCCTAACATACACATGGCAGCTCACAACTTTAACTTCAGTCCCAAGGGATCTGATGGCCTCTTCTGATACTGTACACAGAGGTGCAGACATACATTCGGGCGAAATAACCCCCCACCACCAGTATTCCATTTACTCTTTATTCTAGAACCACAGCACATTAGTGGGATCTGGTAATGACTCTTATGACTGGGCTTTTCAGAACACCCCTCCCATGTATCTACCCACACCCAAAACCATACCTGAAACGAGAAGCACCCCCTTCTGCAATCGCACTCTCCACTTTGGCGGCTTGACAACGAAGAATCTTCAAAAGAATAATATTAATGGATGGGGTGGGGAGGGGAGGGGATGGTAGAAATGAAAAGCCTGTAAAGAGAGAAAACACCAAAATTAGGTACTGCTATACAGAGCTATAAACTTTCAATTATAATTTATTTTGGCTCCCAGCACTGCAGCTGATTTAACTTTCACTGCATTGCAGCCCTCAGAAGACTAAAATAGAACTAAGTAAAAAACCACAAATATACAGTAAAATCTTGTTTAGCCACGTGGATTCCCCTGGTATTCAAGGATGCAAAGGACAGCTTTCGTAGGAAAAAAATCTGTATACTGCCTAGGAAACAGTCATATTATGAGGCCCTTAAAATTTTACAGAAACGCTATCAACATCAGCGGTGCTACAAGGGGAAATGTCTGCTGTACTAATATGGGTGGCCCGGGGTGGTGACAGACCGGCCAGGCCCTCATTACCCGGTGTTGGGCAGTTTTCTCCTCCGATAGTCCTTAAACCACCCCCATTTATTTATTTATTTGTTTATTAATTTATTTATTTAACACAGGGCGCGTGTGGAAAGCCGCCGGAAGAGCGGGGCCACAACATGGCAGCAGGCACCTCCGCCCCACTCTGCGCGAACAAAAGAGCAGCGAGTTCCTCCCCCAGGCCCAGTCAGTCAGGCTCAGCTTCCGACCAGCGACTAGCGAGGGCCCAGGACTGGGCGGGAGGCGCCCCCTCCGGGCCGGCCCTTTGTTCTCCCACAGGAAGGCCGCCTCCTGCCCACCCGCCGCCTCCACCATAAATCCCCCGGCTGACAGCGCCTCGGCTGCCATGGCCCACAAAGGGACAGAGACTCGCTCTCCGCTTCACCCGAGCGGGGCATCCCGCAATAGGGCCTACACACCTCCTCCCCGCCGGGAGGCCGGGCTCCGGACTCGTCCGCCTCGCTGGTCCCGCGCCAACGGCCGGGCCCTGCCGCGGGCCGCGTCCCTCCCGCCGAGGCGCGAGGCCTGCCACGCTCGCACGCTGTTCCCGGATCCCACGTCAGGATCCCGGCTGCGCCCGCCACTCGACCACACGCCAGCCTAGCTCTTTGGTCGGCGTGGGAAGGAGCGCAGAGGCCATAGATTTCTAAGTAGCCCAGAGGCAGAGGAAAGGCCGCCCCGCCCGGCTCCGCCTGCGGCCGCCATTTTGTTCCACTCGACAAGAAGCGGCCAGGGGCGGCGGCCATCTTAGAGGGCTCCGCTCGGCGGCGGCGGCGACTCCACTCACCTTCACCGAGAACTCAGCAGCTGCCACCGCAGCTGCCTCCTCTGGATCCGGTCGTCGGGGACGGGGAAGGGAGGGGGAAGGGGAACGGAAAACAAAAAAAGGGGAGGGAAGGGGGAGGAAGGAGACGGGGCCGGCCTGAAACTCTCAGCTCAGAGGAGTAGCTGCTGCAGCCGCCACCTGGTACCCGCTGCCACCTCCATAGAGCTCCGGCTCGCTGCTGGCGCTGAGGCGTGTCTGAAGCCGAACTTATCACTCTGCGGCGGCCGACCCACCAGAGCCTCCCCGAGTGGCTCCTTCGCTATCCAATCAGCAGCCGGGCTTCCGTCCGCTACCAATCCGCGCAGGGCGGTTGGGAGGAGCCAGCGGGCAAGCTCGGTTGCGGCGCAGCCCCGCCGCAGTGCGCAAAGCCATATTCGCGAAGGCTCTGGGGCCAAGCCAGTGGCGTAAGGGCGGCGGGCCGGCGCGCTGCGGGACTCTTGCGTAGCGCCCGGAGCCCAGTGAGTGTGCGTAGCCGGGCCGCCTGGTCTTTCTGGGCCGGCGCTTTGTTCCGGAGTCCGAGCTTCATGCTTGCCTAGAAGAACCTCTTCCTCGCCTCTCCTCCCTGACCCGCCCGGGCCTGGTGCCCCGAGACCTCGGCATGGCCTCGCGGCCTGGCCTCGGTCTGGAGTCTGGGAGCTTTGCTGAAGAGAGGGACGTGTGCCCATCGATAGGAGAGCGTTCTGTTTGTTGGTCCTCCATCTGCAGAGTAACGAGAAAAGGATCAAAGGAAGGGCTTTGTACCCCAGGCTAGAGGCAGCTTTTCCTCAGAATGCTCGGCCTCCTGTCACCGAGCTTGAACCAGAATATGCTAGGCTGGCTTGAGAAGTGTTTGCAGAGCGCGGGCATTTGGGAAATTTAAAATTGCAAACTAACTTTTTAAGTTTTTCCTTCATTTTTAACAAACGTTAAAGACGGACAGCACAATGTTTTTATTTTACTTAAGGGCTATATAGGAAAATGAAACATTTCAAACTACACTTCCAGGTGGTATTTTAAAAGAAAGATGGGTTATGTATGCATGCCACTGTTTGCGACATTTTAGCTTTCCAAAAATGAAGGTATGTAAATGAGAAATGTCCCATCTCTGTTAAGGCATTTTTTAAAAAAAAAAAAATAGGTTACTAAACTAAAGCACGTGTGTTTTCAACAGTCATGGTTTGAAATTCATTTCCAAGAGCTGGGTTTTCAAAGACCCAAACATAATTTGACATGTCTTGGTGTTGAAAAGACCTAGTCCTTAAATAGAATTTTCAGCAGAATTGTACTTTCCTTAGTATTTAAGTCTGATAAGTGTGGCTTTGAAGGTTTATGATTCTAGCATCTTTAGATCTGCCTTAGAATTAATACTATTGAGTAAACTTTCACTTAAACTAAAAACTGTAAAAAAAACATTTTCATTTAGGGGGTTATTTATGTGTAAAAGAGAAAAAACATTTTTGGGAAAGGGGCAATTTTTGAAATGCAAGAGATTTCACTTTGTATAACTTCTGTAAGGCTTTTTTGTTTTGTTTTGTTTTTTTGTTTTTCGAGACAGGGTTTCTCTGTATAGCCCGGGCTGTCCTGGAACTCACTCTGTAGACCAGGCTGGCCTCGAACTCAGAAATCCGCCTGCCTCTGCCTCCCGAGTGCTGGGATTAAAGGCGTGCGCCACCACCGCCCGGCAAGGCTTTATAACTAGTAGAAATATATAATGTGATATGTTAGTTTTTCACAAGTGATTTACATTCCTTATGATACACTAAAGACATCTGCGTGGTAGAAACACAGTGGTCAAAAACGCCACACTCACTATACTAGTGTATATGTCAAAGAAACATGGATGTCCTAAATATAAGGAACTAAAATATAAATATATCTTTTGTTTTGTTTTGTTTTCAGTTTTTCGAGACAGGGTTTCTCTGTGTAGCCCTGGCTGTCCTGGAACTCACTCTGTAGACCAGGCTGGCCTTGAACTCAGAAATCCGCCTGCCTCTGCCTCCCAAGTGCTGGGATTAAAGGCGTGCGCCACCACCGCCCAGCTTTTTTTTTTTTTTTTTTATAAATGTATTAAGATATATTTAAGCCAGGACTACACAGAGAAACCCTGTCTCGAAAAACTCAAAACAAAACAAAAACCTTTAAAAATACATTTATATTATATGTATATACAATATAAATAAAACATAAAAACTAAAATATAAAGTCCTAAAATCAGGAACTTGAATTTAATTAAAAAATGTTTAAAAGGAACACCAAGGTGGTCCTGCTGGTAAAGGCACCACTTGCTGGCAAGCCTCATAACTGAGCTCAATCTCCAAGTCCCACTTGGAATAAAGAAAGAAGGTACGGGAGTATACACACACACACACACACACACACACACACACACACAACACACATTTTAAAAAGGTCTTTTCAAGGCCAGGTAGTGGGGGCGCAGGCCTTTAATCCCAGCACTTGGGAGGCAGAGCCAGGAGGATCTCTGAGTTTGAGAGTTCGAGGCTAGCCTGGTCTACAGAGTGAGTTCCAGGACAGCCAGGGCTACACACAGAGAAACCCTGTCTCAAAAAAACAAAACAAAACAAAAAACCATCTACTTTTCAGTCATAGAAATAAGCATTCACAAATTTAGGGTTTCCATCATATTTTAGATGTGTAAAATTTCAAATAGTTGGATTTGAAATGTAACCAAACACCTTTATATGTCTATTTTATTCATTTCTAATAAATCTGGAAAACTGCTAAGAGTCCTGACTTGTTAATATATTTTCACGTTGTTTTAATCCTGGCAGTATTACTTTTCTTTTTTGAGCCTCTCACCATAGAGTTCAGGATGGCCTCAACCTTAGTATCTTCCTGCCTCAGCTTCCTAAGTGTTGGTGTCATCTATACCTGGGATTCCTGCACCACCTAGCTCATTGGTTACTATTCCAAGCATACACTGTCATTTCTGATTAAGGATTCCCTAATCATGCAACTGAAGACCAGAACTCTCACTTCTGAATTTCTTTTGTGTTTTGTTTTTTTTTTTTTTTTCGAGACAGGTTTTCTCTGTGTAGCCCTGGGTGTCCTGGAACTCACTTTGTAGACCAGGCTGGCCTCGAACTCAGAAATCTGCTTGCCTCTGCCTGCTAAGTGCTGGGATTAAAAGCGTGTGCCACCACCGCCCGGCAACTTCTGAATTTCTAACATCAAGAGAAGCAGACTTGTAGCCTTATTTGGTTTGATCCACATAGTAGTTTTAAGCAACTTGACACTGAAATATTTAGAGATTATATACAAGGAAAAGATTTCCATCTTTTGTGATGTTCTCTAGCCTTTACCGCCAGTTTGTTGTTTTGAATTCTTCAGATTCGGTACATCAGTACTTGGTCCTGGGAGTAATTTGTTTGTTCTCTTCTGGTAAATGGAATAGTGACATTTATAGAGTTGTAATGATTGAATGAGATTATATATGGAAGGGATATAACATAGTCACTGAAATTATAATGAGTCTGAATTGTCCCTCTCAGGCATGTTTTTTGAGTATTTATTCTCTGGTTAGTGGCACTTTTTGGAGGTTGTGGAGCCTTTTGGAGGCTGACCATGACTAATGAAATAGGTAACTGAGGCAGGCCTTTGTTAGCTACACTTACTCCTGGTGCTGTCAATCTCTTCTCTGCTCCCTGATCTTGTGGCTTCACCTTACACTCTCATTACCTTGAAAAAGGCCACTCCTGTTACTGTGCTCTCCTTGCCTTGATGGACTGAAATCTCAGAAATTATGAGTCAAAATATTTCTTCCCTTTAGTTGTTACTGTTACAACAATGGGAAAATCAACACAGGTATCCACGAGCCTATTGGGGACTGCTTATGGCTTGAAAGTGATATATCATCCACAGGGTCTTGCATTTGAACACCTGGTCCCAGCTATTGATCCTAGACCAGCTAATTCTTTATATTTGGTTTTGAAAACTAGACATCAATAGTATTTAAAGTTCTCATTTTATTTCCAGGTGCAATCAAGTTTTCCAACCACTACCATAGAGAAGAGCATTACAGAAATTACATCTGCAGGCCATAGGAAAGGAAACTAGAAAACGAAAATTGTCTTTTTCAAAGCAGGGTAACAGACATTCGAACCCAGGAATCTCAGCTTTTAAGTCCTTTATATCCTGCTAAGCCTACCCTCCTGTTGGCCTTATTTTTCACCACTCCTATCTCTCAAGGGAGCCAGTTAGACAGGTATTGCTGCCCTTAAAAATCAACTCCTGGGCAAGTGAGATGGCCCAGTGAGTAAAGGTGCTTGCCCCTGAGCTTGACAATGAGTTTGATCCCAAGGACCAATGCCTGTAAGTTGTCCTCTGACTTGAACAGGTGTACTGTGGTAGGCACACATGATCCATTCACTCCACACATAACAAAATAAATACAAAAGTAATTTTAAAAAACATTCACACCTAATACTCTGCTGCATGCATTTATTTCCTCTGCCATCTCCTTTCTGAAGTAACAGATATTAAGTATCAAGCCCTTACTGTCCTATTGCTATGAAGAGATACCATGACCAAGGCAATTCTTTTTGTTTGTTTGTTTGGTTTTTTTTTGTTGTTGCTTTTTTGAGACAGGGTTTCTCTGTATAGCCCTACTCACTCTGTAGACCAGGCTGGCCTTGAACTCAGAAATCTGCCTGCCTCTGCCTCCCAAGTGCTGGGATTAAAGGCGTGCACCACCACTGCCCGGCGACCAAGGCAATTCTTATAAAAGAAAGCATTTGTGGGCTTGCTTACAGCTCCATGCATCACAGCAGAGAGCATGGCAGCAGGCAGGCATGGTCCTGGAGGTGCAGCTGAGAGCTACATCCTGATCTATAAGCAGAAAGAGAATCTGGGCTTGGCATAGGCTTTTGAAACCTCAAAACTCATCTACCATTGCCATACTTCCTCTAACAAGGCCACACCTCCTAATCCTTTCAAATAGTGCCACTCCTTGGTTGCTAATCATTTAAATATATGAGCCTATTAGGGCCATTCTTATTCAAACCGCCACATTCCACTCCCTGTCCTCATAATCTTATATCATAATGCAAAAAGACATAATTTCAATTTCAAAAGTCCCCATAGTTTATCATGTTTAAAAGTCCAAAAATTCAGTCTCTTCTGAGACTCAAGACAATCTCTTCTTTGTAATTCCTGTAAAACCAAAATCAAAAGCAGATCACATACTTCCAACACATAGTGACACAGAATAT